CACTCAATGGAGTGAATTCACTGAGTGAAAATTGCTGCATCTCTAGTGGATGTATAGGTCTAGTGGACCTATACAGAGCAAGTCTGTTGATGTTGCTTTAATGGTGGTTTTAAGGTTATTTTAATATTTTTAATATTTTTATTTTATTTTAAGGATTTGGGTAATGCCCCCTATCCCCTAGCTCTCCCCTGTGCTCCTTGGGTCACAGACAGAGAGAATTGACTGGGATATAGGTAAGGCAGAGGCTGCTGAGAGAAGCCTTGTCTTTAATTAGACCAGTGGGTATCACTGGGGTGGAGGGGAAGGGATGAGTGAGCTTTTGAGCCTGAATAAATGTCAGATTGTATTTTATCAGACTTGCAGTTTGGAATCAGGGATTCACTCAGTTTCCATTTGGCTGTGGGCTGTCTGGGGCCTTTTTGCATCTTCCATCTCTTAGCTGCAGTTATGGGAAAGTTGCATATACCATTTTACAGACATAAAGCAGAGCTCTTTAGGGGAAGGAAGGGTAAATAACCCGGGTAAAATGAGCCAGGCTGGAGTCAGTAAAACTACCCAGAGTGCCAGCAAGTGATACCTGTGTCCTGAGTTTAATCTATTCCTTCCCAGTGGTCATACCCAGGAGGATTAGTGAGAGATGCTTTAACCTAAAGCTACTTGGAACAGCAGTGCTTTTTTTATTCTCCCCTCTCAAAAGTGGTTTGCTTTTACTAAAATAGCTAAATGCAGGCATGTTAAGCTTAATATGGATGTGTGTGTGGGTACCTGAGAAAGCATCCCATTAGGTAACCCTGTAGCTTTCTCCTGGGGAGATGCTGAGAATATCACCTTTGCTGCCAGTCAGGGCCAAGGCAGGCTTGTTAGCAGCTTGTAAGTGACAGCCCTACTTTGCTTTGTGGGTATTTTAAGTGATGAGGGTAGCAGAGCTCCAGGGAGAGGTGATAACGTCTGTGCTGGTTTTCTTCTCGATAGGGAGGTGGCAGAGGAGGAGGAGATAGGACTAATTGCATACCTTCCAATTCCAGTTACTTCATTACAGAATAGTCATTGGAGCAGCCCTGCAATCTGCTCTGATAGCAGATAAGTGGCGTGGCTCGAAGCACTTCAATCTAAACAAAACTTAAGTGCTTTTTCCTTTTTCCCTGGAGTGAAACTGTAATTTCGTTATGTGAATGTCAGCCAGGACAAAGTTGTTTTTGCAGCTGTCATGATGATTCTCTGGGCTTTGTGTTAGAGGTATGTCCCCAGTGTATGTAGCAAAAATATCCTAAAATACTGCATTCCCATACCTGGAAGCTTCAGTTGAAGGCTCTCCAAATGTTTGCCAGGTGAAGATCTGTTTAGCTTTGACGTTAGATGTCTCAGAGGGTTTAGATATAAACCAGTGAAGGTTTGGATTATATTCCTTTCCATAGCAATACATGTTAATTAGCTGCTCTGTCTGCATTAGGCCCTGAAACAGTCAAGTGAAAGAGCCTGAGCACATCTCTGCTGCTTCAGAATATGAGTCCCTGTGGTGAGGGTGGTCACGTCGAAGCACTGCCTCATTTTGGTTCTCTGGTGTGGAAATGGTGTGAAATGCAGCCCATGTGATGCAAAAGAGAAGTGTCAGGCAGAGCTTGGGAGAGAGATTTTGCCTTTCTTTGAAATGGGGCAAAAGTGAATTTGTACTCCAGGCTCAACCCTGGGAAATCATAAAATCCCAGAATGTTTAGGTTGGGAGGGACCTTCAAGTCCATCTCGTTCCAACCCCCTCCCATGGGCAGGGACACTTTCCACTATTCCAGGTTGTTCCAACCCCATCCAACCTGACCTTGGACATTTCCAGGGATCCAGGGGCAGCCACAGCTTCTCTGGGCACCCTGTGCCAGGGCGTCATAAAATACCTGGAGCTGCTGTTGATGATGATGACTTTGAGGTACCTATTTAAGGCCACAAGATCACCCCAGACAAGTGCCTGGACTTTGCACGGTGCAGCACCGGCCAAACCTTCAACTCTCTTCAGGCTCATTTTTTCTGGACTGCCACAGAACCATTAAATCTGATCCTTTCCTAAAAAGACAGCTGACTGTGCAATGTGAGCCACATAAAATTCTTTGTCTCTGCTTTGGACTTGAATGGAAAAGTAGTTTGTTTTCCCATTAAATTGACCTCAACTGTCGCTGCCCCAAAGGGGGTCTGTTCTTGCAGGCTCTGCTTGGCCAGAGCGTGCTTGGCTCTCCCTGTGTTTTGCTGCAAGCCTGCTAACTCACTCCAGGACAATGGGAGGATGGTCATGCACTAAGGCAGGTATTTGTGAGCAGGTTAAATGTTTTGGGAAAGAAAAATGTAATGCTCTTTGTGAAAGTTAATAGTTTTGTAAGTTGAGGTTTGGTTGTGTTGGTGGTAACTTGGCTGATAGGGTTGACAGTGTAGATCCAACTGCAGCATTAAGCTCTGGGAATGAATAAGGTGAAGTGGGGGTGAATTTCAAAGGAACAAAGAATACAAGGCCTCCTTAATTGAATCTTACATTTTTAGGGTGGCTTTCAGAGGGAAAAGCCCAAACATACTTTGCAAACCAACCTGTGCATTGTGTACTGTAGTGGATCTGTGCTTTGATAGGAACAGTGTGACTTATTTAATGAGATAAACTGCATCATGGTTTGGTTTTTTTTTTTTAAGAGGTATTTAGTTATTTATATTGGGGAAAAATACATTTTTGCTGATAAAATGTATTTTTATCAGCAAAATACATTTGAGAGTCTGTAGCTGATCAGACTCCTGCATCCCTTTCTAGCCACTGATGTTGCAGGGCCAGGAGGCTGGCAGGTTGGATTGGGTATTGCCTAAATAAAAATGAGGTTCAGGCCTGGAGTGTTACCTGGCAGGGCTGCCTGACCCCCACCTGCTGGGGATGTTGACCCCACAGTGCTCTTTGCTCATGGTTTGTTTAGGAGAAGGTTTTAGGACGTGAGTCACATGTGGGAGCACAGGTGCCACGCTGCCTTTTTAAGAGGTTGAGTGCCTTGGCTTTGTAGGGAAAAGAAGCCAAAAAATGGGCTGTGATATGTTTCATGCTGGCCAAGCTGCTCTAAGGGTAATCCAGGTGGAAAGGGACTCACCTATGGATGGGAGGTTCAGCTGGGTAGTCAGGAAACATCAGCAAAGCACAGCTCCTTCCTAAGAGTGAGCAAAAATCCTCCACCTGTAGACACCATCACATACAGCCAGCCTTGGCTCTTCTCTGGCTTCTGTTTGCCTTTTAATGGTCATGGAGTGCCTCAGTGCTTCCTTCTTGTCTTCCTGGTGTTTGACTCAGAGGTTTGATGGCCCCTGTGCTGTTGGAATCAGCACATGGGAACAGGTGGGTACTTGGGCAATGTCCATGAGATTACACTGGTGTGTTTATGGCCTGGCCTGGCTGCACTGGGACTTCCCATGTGCTTCCATATCCAGTACTTAGTCACCATCCATCTTCACTGCAGAAAATGAATGGAAGGCAAATTGTTACTGGAGACTTTTCTAGGGAAAAAGTTTTTAATGAGTACCTGAAGGGCCACAATCCTATGGATTGTGTGTGGTGTCATGTGGCTGTGAGCAGGTTTTCCTTATTGCAGAAGCTGGATTGATTCCTCAGGCTGGATAGCATCTGATTTTTATATGAGGGAGGGGGAAAAGTTGTCTGACTTTAATCTGAATTTACTAGGTACTTAATAAGAAAGACCTCTGCCCTGAGTGACTTGTTCAGCCTATGTTGTGTTGCAGGAGCTCCATGGAGATGAAGCCTGCTGGCTTTATTTTGCTCTGAAATCCATTTGGCTCAAAATTGCTTCCAGAATCTTATCCTCCCTGGTACTTCAGACTTGTGACTGGGTAACCTGCTGAGTGTTAAAGGTTGTGGCAAATCCTGGGTGCTGTGGTGGCTGAGAGGTGACACCGGCACACGGAACCTGTCCTTCAGGTGACAGGCAGAGGCACATTTCCGGGAGCTGTCTGCTTCTGTCTGTCTCATCCCTTTCTAATCTGCAATTTGTGTTTGAAAGCAGAGGGATTTAAGTTGTTTTCTGTGCAGTTGTGGCCCGTGGGAGCAGTTGGCTGTCGTGGTGTTTGGCCCTGGAGCTGCCTTGGTGGCCGATTGCGTAAGCGAGTGAAGGTATTTGCAGCAGTCACTTGGAAATGGGGATAATTCGAGTCTCCATCAAGCTCAGGCTCCAACAGGTTGTGGAATTTATTTATACAACACCACTGGGGTGTGTGACACTGCAGAGCCAAACAAACAGAGGTTCCCAGCCCCGAGGCTTGTGCTGGGTGTTAGATAAGGAGGGCTGGGGTAATTACAGCCAGGGACATGGGTGGAGGGGTTCAAAGTGGGTGAGGGCTGCATCCGTGTGGAGGACATGAAATGTGCCTCATTAATGGCACTGTGAAGAAACTGTGTGTGCACCTGGGGTTATGGGAAGGCTGGAGGTCAGCTCTGCAGAAGGAAGTGTTGTGTGGGCTGTTGGAGAGGTGTGGATTAATAAGGGAAAGCGGAAGGAGGCGAAATGAAACCAGCCAAGCGTGCGGGGAGGGGCCGCGTTACTCGGAAGCTGACGTGCAGCAGCCCTGGCACTCCAGGGGCTTGGGGAATTTGGGTGTCACAGCAGCCACTGGGAATCCACAGCCTGACCCCAAAACGTGTGTGCTTGATGGGAACAGAGGAGCAGGTAAAGAAAGGGTCCAGTGTGGTTTCTGGGGGGCTTGGCAGTCCCTCCTCTCTGCTATCTGTGCTCCCTGGGCTCTCATGGTGCCAAATTGGCTTCTGCCCAGCCACTGGGCTGGTTTTGGGGTGTACTCGATCAGTCAGCACTGAAGATCTTGAATTGGTGGTTCTCCACGTCAGCAGTGCATGGATTGTTGTTCCCATGTGCCCTTTGCTCTGGGCAAACTGGATCTTTTGGGTTTTAGGAGCTGGGTAGTGGTTGTTAATACCTTTACTGTGTCACTAATTTCCTTTTTCCTTCCCTTTTGCTCTTCAGAAATGCCATTCTCCTGAGTGTGTAAGGAACCTACAGAACTGTAATGTCTAACCCTACATGGAATAACAACTCTTGGAAGGTACTACCCTTTTTTAACTCTATAGCTTTGTTACAGGTTGGGTTAATGATGTGCTGATCTTTGCTTCAAAGCTTGAAATTGAAGAACTGTGTCTTATGTAATGCTGTCCCTTTGAAAGGGCTGACAGTGCTGTGATCCTCCAGTCTCTGATTTCCAGAAAAACTGGGTGCAAGCTAACACTTGGTTTGGGGTGCTGAGGGACCATCCCTGTTTCTCTGTGGATGCTGATGTCTTTAGGAAGATCTGGTGTTGCCTTAGGAACAGATGGTGGTTTCTATTCAGAGAGCTGAACTGAGCTTTCTTCATTCTTGGTGGCCATCCTTGGAAACATATTGCCCTTCTTTTTAGTGATGCATGATGGTTTGCCTGTTTCTTCAATTCAGTGACCTTCTGGATTGTCTTTCTTGAGGCTTCCAGGCATATTTATAAAGAATATTGGGATGAAGTGCAGTTACACTTTAACATTTAGATTGAAATGTCTCGGCTGTTCGTGCTGCATTAACCAGCTCTCAGGCGTTGGCTTGTTCTGCTGTCTGATCCTGCAGTGATGCCATAATACTGAATTTTGGACTGCCCTGTGCATTGCCATGGCAACAGACTGATGTCACACTCTCAAGGACATTACTTCAGTGCACGATCATGCAGAGGCACAATCAGATTTGTGCAGGAGAAAGCTGACTAATGCACATCTCAAAAGCAAACAAGGGGAATGCAGGTTACAGCTGACCAACCAAGGTGCCTCAGTGTGCAAATTCCCCACTTAGAGGAGGGGCTGATTCTGTCTCTAAGGCAGGAACAATTGTCTTGATGAGCTTCTCTTCACCATGGAGAAGCAGAGGACTTGCAGGTTTCCTGTATCTTTATAACAGGTGGTGGCAGAGATCATTGTTTCTGGGGTGGGGAAATGCTCTCTGGTTTCAGAGCTTTGAAAGGGCAGTGCTTTCTTTTAATTTTAAAGAACCTCTCAGTGGTCTTGTAAGCACCCTGAGAATACTTTGACTTGCTTAATGTTGTTCAAACAGTTTAATTGGTTTTCCAAAGCTTTTATTTTATCCATAACATTGGAAGGTGAAAGGGGAACTCCGCATCTGCATTATGGTCACATTTTCCTATATCCTATTAGCAGATTCCAAGATTGTTTAATGTGATCTCCACCCATTTCATTTGGCTGCAACCTTTGCTCCCATGAAAACAAGGCTGATTGTTCTGAATTGCTGTGTGTATGTGCTTTGGCACGGCATGAAGGTACCTATAATAACACAACCATTGTCTGGAAAAAAAGGCAGTTTGCAGTAATAACTACAAATAAAGGGTGCAGTCCAGGGGCAAGACAGATAATGGTCGTTTTCCCACCCACTGCACAGGGCAGATCCTTAAACATGGTCACCCCTCAGCATGACAGGGCTGTGGGCTTTAGCCTGGGATGTGAATACTGGGAATAAGGGACTGAAATATTTGCACGTTGTTCCAAGTTTCTCTTTCCTGGCCTCAGTTCCATTGCTCATATCTACGGATGGGGAGACTGAATGACTTTTGCACAATGCAGTGTTTTATTTGCATGCTGTGAGCAGTTTAACAAGTGTGTGTGCTAAATGAAGCATTCCCACTTTCAGTGAGCAGCTGATGCACCCTTAAAGTAAAAAAAAAAAAAAGGATTTAAAAAAAAGTGCCTTTAGGTTGAACAGTGGGGTTTTGAGGGGTGACATTGTGCTGTGTGTCTGAGCGGATGGTGGGTCGTGCCAAGGCTGAATGTTAACTAGAAATGCTGTGAGATGCAGCAAATAACCAACTCACACTCCTTGGTGCTAAAGCAATTTCTGCTCATCTCTGCACTTTGTGGGTAAAAGCTGTTATAGTACAAGATTTGCAAGTAATGTGATTGTTTTAAATGCTCGGTGTCACAGGAATTGAGGACATTTAACAGAAACTGGCATTTCTTGTAGCAGTTTGGTTGCCTCCCAGGACAGGAAACTGTGAAGTGGTAAAAAAGAATCAGGGAAGGAGTTTAACAACCCTCTCTGTAAATCATGATGCTTGAATTCAGATCCTGGCCTTGAGCTGAAAGGACTGGGAGCTCTGCAGGACCCAGTGATTCAAGCTGCTCTGTAGAGAACAAGAAGATAATGGTGATGGACTATCAGGAAGGCAGCCTTGCTGAAAAGAGAGCCTTTATGATACAGTCAAGGGGAAGGAAGTCTGGAGAACTCAGAAAAGGAACAGATGTTTTTGGTGGTGGGGAAAAACTTAACTATCCCTGTAGCTTGCTCTTGCAGCGGAGCCAGCAGGAGGAACTTGATACCAAACAAAAGTAGGCACACCCAGGATTTAGCAGAGGGATCCTGGAAAGCTGAAAATCAGTGCTTTGGTGCTTTCTGTTTGACAAATACCTTATACAGTGGCATCTGGCAGATATAATACTAGATGTGTGTGCAAAGGTGTGTGTAAAACAGCTTGAAGGTGTTAGATGTTTCTCTTTAACAGCAATAAAAGAAGTATTGATGTATGAAGTGATACCCAAAGTGGGGAGCCAAGAGAGATGCTGTTCTCTGAGAAGGAAATAATGACAGAAGATGCATTAAAAAAGAGGGTGAGGTTTTTTTCTAGGGTGTGTTTATGGATGGTGATGACTTGAAGTGTGATAAAACAGATTGCTGATCCTATGTATCAAAGTACCAGCGGCAATGATTTTTTAAGCTGTTGAAACTTGCATCCACCAAAAAATATATATCTATTTCATTCTTCCTAATAGGTTAATCCACTGTAATTGGCTGTGAAATCAACCTGGGGGAATTTTCCCATCTGTAAATGATGCACAGCCTCTTTGCTGTCTACTTGGCAACCGTACCTTCAGATAATTAAAAGCTGTTTTTTAAATCCGCTTTTCTTTCAACTCTTGTTTTTCTGCATCTCGCTGCTTCTCTGAGAGCTGTCAGTCACTCTTCTGGCCAAGGTGTAAAAACCAAGATAATGTGCTTTTAGGAAAGGAAAACTGCAGATGATCTTTTTACTTTAATTTTTTTTTAAAAAAGCATAAAACCTACAAAACTAGGTGAATGTGAGGAGCTTTTTAGCATGCATGTCACTGCTGCATTTCTGAAAGTAACTAAACTTTCCCAGTCCAATATGGAAAACTTTGACTTTCAGAGCTCTGGTGCCACTTGCCCTGCTAAAATCAATAACCAAGCCTCCATGGTTCACTTAGGAAGCAGTTCCAGTTCCCCAGAAATTACAGGAGTTGCTCAGCACAGGGATCCTCTGGTTTCAGCACATACTTTCATTGCTCTGTAGTGTTTTGAGAGGCCGAAGGGTGGGATGCAGCTCCAGTGAATTTCCAGATTCCTAACAGTGTGAGGGACTGTTTTTAATAGTGATGATAAAAACAGCTATTCCCAGTTGGAGATTTAGTCAGTGGTATAATTATCAGAGCTATGAAATAGTGCAGGGATGGCTTGGGATGGAAAAAACTAAAGCTTGAAACTTCTTTTCTTGAGGGAGCTGTTTGAAATGATTTCCTGCAGGCTCATAGAGAATTGGTGAGAGATGTCAAAGGGTGAGGGCTCAACATTGGTGATTGCTTTGGTAATTCAGTGTTTGGGCTGCAGCTGGCTTTTGGGAGAGAATTGGTTGTTGAAAGCCAGGGGGATGAGGGGGAGCTCTGGAGTGGCACATTTGGTTTGTAAAGTGCTGAGGATTTCCACAGCAGGGTCACAATCCCCAAAGCTCCAAATCTGGCTCACTTAAACCATCCCTTCTAAACCACAGCTCTGGGCTCCTTATTTTCTGCTTCACTTCTTAGTGATTTGGTGGGGTTTATTCATATTTTCTCCATTTTGTCCAAGAGGGGAAACTCTGACAAGAAAATACTGTTTGTGCTGCAGGGAGCAATGGGAATATTGGGTTAGGGAGCAATGTAGGTATTTTTTCCTTTTTCTGTCTTTATAATAAAGTTGTTTTTTGGACCTGTTAGAGCAGAGACCACAAAGATGCTCTGAGGACTGAAGCACCTCTGCTCTGGAGCTGGGCTGGGAGGGCTGGGAGTGTTCACCTGGAGAAGAGAAGGCTCTGGGGAGACCTTGGAGCCCCTTCCAGTACCTAAGGGAACTTGGGAAAAAGAGGGAATGTGACTCTTTATGTGAGCAGATAGGGGTGGGACAAAGTGGAACAGTTTTAAAATAAAAGAGGAGAGATTTAAATTAGATATTGGGAAGAAATTCTTCTCTGTGAGGATGATGAGGCCCTGGCACAGGGTGCCCAGCAAAGCTGTGGCTGCCCATGGATCCCTGGAAGTGTCCAAGGTCTGGTTGGACAGGGCTTGGAGCAGCCTGGGATAGTGGGAGGTGTTCCTGCCCATGGCAGGGTGTTAGAACAAGGTGATCATGAAGGTCCCTTCCAACCCAAACCATTCCAGGATTTTATGTTTCCTGTGTTTTTTCATTAAAAAAAATTCAAGTCTTGTAAAACAAACCTGAATCTGATGTTTCCAGTGGACTTTAGAAAAGTTCATACTTCCACAGTGGTTATTAACGTGGAAAGGATTGCAGCAGAATTATTTCTGGTGTCCTCTTATAGGTCTGTGCCACTGAATTTTGAAGAGGAAATGTGAAAAGGGAAAGGCAGAAAGCAGAAGTTGTCACAGTTCATAAACGTGCATAAGTTGTCTTTTACTGAAATTTCAATGCTATTTTGGGGCCTTTCTTTTTCCTTAAGAATGAATTACAGTGGAATTCGTGCTATGCTTAGGATTTCTGAAACTTCAATTGTGTCAGTTGCTAGGTGTATTGACTACAAAGCTCTGAAAATATCAAACTATTTTTTACTTCAATAATTCTTGAGTTATTAGTGGAAAAAAAAATCTTTAAAAATAGAGCTAATAAAAGATTAAAGATCTGTGGAATTGGTAGGTTTCCAGATTAGCTTAGATTTTAAACAGTCCTTTGAAATAATCATAATGCAGTAAGATATTGGTCTGTACTGCAGTTTACCAGTCAAAACCTCCGAGT